AGTGTGGTCAGCAGGACCAGGGAGGTGATTCTGTCCCTGTACCCGGTGCTGGTGAGGCCACACCTTGAGTACTGTGTGCAGTTCTGGACCCCTCAGTTCAGGAAGGATATTGAAGTGCTGGAGCAGGTCCAGAGAAGAGCCATGAGGCTGGTGAAAGGACTTGAGCACAAATTCTATGAGGAAAGGCTAAGGGAGTTGGGATTGTTTATCCTGGAGAAGAGGAGGCTCAGGGGAGATCTTATTGCTCTCTACAACTCCCTGAAAGGAGGTTGTAGTCAGGTGAGGGTTGGTCTCTTCTCCCAGGCAACTAGCAGTAGGACAAGAGGGCACAGATTCAAGCTCTGCCAGGGCAGGTTTAGGTTGGATGTTAGGAAGAGATTTTTTTGGACTCAGTGATCTTGGAGGTCTTTTCCAACCAGGTTAATTCTGTGATTCTAAGTGCTTGAAGTGCATCATATTCTTATGCAAGGTAGTCTTATTTACTGTCTTTTTTTCTCTTTACACAGGATGACTGTCTTGTGAAAGTATGGTACAACACAGAGAGTTGGCGATCAGCTGTAACACCACCTGGTGCCAGTCCAGAAAACCCAGCAAAAGAAGTTGATTTTTCATTTGTTTATTTGGCTCATCCTCGATCAGTAAATGCATTTTCATGGAGGAAGACCAGTAAATTCATGCCACGGTTAGTAGTTCTAGCAACATGAGCGAAAAAACTGCACGTTGCGGTGTTCCTGCAGTCACACAAATTGTAAATTTTACTTCAGTTATTAATTGAATGTGCATGCCTTGTGTACTGTTTGTGTGTGTTCTTGAGAGGATGCTAAGCATTCTCTTACCTGGGGAAAAAAATTGAAAGTTTGAAGGAGAGTCCCACAGGCTGACTTAGAGATTGAACTAAATACAAAATCAGCTCTTGCAAAATTAAGTATCTTGCATCTTTTTGATTGCACTGTTTTAAATGATCATTACTGCGTTTAATTTCAGCTTCTTTCTTTCTGTCCTGATGGCATCAGATCACTTCAAAAGACCTGTGACTTTAAGTGCTCTTTCACAAACATTCAAATATTTTCATGTCTTTTAGTTTATTTCTCTATCTAGTACAGAACTAGACCTCTGTCAGAAACAGTATCTGGGAATTGAATTAAAATAATAATTTGGAACTGATATCCTTAGTTTGTGGGATTTTTTAGGTGTGTGTTCTGCTGATTTCAAAATGACGTGTCTCTAGTTTTCACCAGGAATTGCAATCTCAAACTGAAGTGCCGATAGCAATTTTGTGCCCTGCAACCATATTTTCGCTGTATTGGTCCAAATAATTGCCAATTGCATTTGGATCTCTTTATGTGGAGTAGATTTATGCTGTCTTTTATTCCAGCTTTTAAGTAGAAGACTCTTTGTAAATCCATTACTAGAGTTCTTAAATCACTTCTGAAAATCCACCTGCTTCATGATCCCTGAGGGAGTTTGCTGCTGGGCAGTCTGGTCAGATGATCCATACAGCTTTCTGACAGTCTTAGTTAGAACTAAATTGTGAATTTATATGAACTGGAAACTTCATGATCTGCATATTTTTTCCAGTATCTAGGCTAAGTTAATTTGATTTTTTTGATAGATATGTTCCACAAGTTGATTTGGATAAATAGTAATTAAGAAGAGTTTAAAGCTTCAAATTGTCTGTTATATTCCTCGTATTCCCTTGGTTTCTCTGTTTTGGATATATAATTTTGTAAGTGCTAGCAGTAAGATCTGGAATTGAGAGCAGGTATTCATAATATTAGATTTTTTTCTGTGAAGAACTTGAAAAGAAAAAACATAAATTTTGCTATTCCCGGTATTCTTTAAATTCTTTATTCTAATTCTTTAAATGGAAATCCATGATTTGCTGTTGCACAGTTGTGTGATGACTTTTGAGGTAGTTTATATTCAAATACTTGCACAGATAGGAAAGCCCTTCATATTGTTTTCCTAAGAATATATTGTGGATTTTTTCTTTCCTTAGTATCTTTAAGTTACTTGGTGCAATTCCAAAAACTGATACTGTAAAACTGTTTGGAACTGTTGGTTTAATTTGGTGCTATGTAATAGTAAGCAGCTTCTTCATGCCTTGAATTTTCTCTCATTAGTGGTGCTGTCTGCAATGTACTCCTGACTTGCTGTAAGGATAATGTGTGTCGTCTCTGGGCAGAGACTTTGTTACCCAATGACAGTCTGTTGTATGGCGGAGGATACACCAATTGGAGTGAAGCAGTAAACTTCACCAATAACTTCAAGAGAAATATTTCAAGTAAAGAAAAAGTGCAGAGTGCTTTAGAGGTAAGAATTTGAACAATGAGAATAAACACATGTACAAACATGTAATTTTAGACAGGTTTGTAGTAACTCGAAGTGTGTTTTAATCCGAAATTCTTTATACCAGAGATGTGCATAAGATCTTCTTTGGGAAGGCTAGGCTGACAGCTCTCCTACTGAGCTTCTCGCATTAGAAGACACACTGTTCTAAAGTCACAACCGCCTATTTTGGTCCCGTGAGTGAAGAAAAATGCTTTGCATTATCTAGTTCAAAGGGCTAGGAACAGTATGAAGCTCATACTGTATATAGGTTATGTGAAACCCTGTAGTGGCGCTGCCTTAAAATGTATGGTAGGGGCTCACTCGATACCTCTGAAGATGTGGGGTGTCCTCTGATGCCTGCAACTGGAACAATAGTGATAGTATAGAGGAAAGAAAAATAGCCTGCTGTTGCCTTTCTGCTGTAGCCCTCAAGTAGAGCAGAGTGCTCGTAAGGTTTAAGGGAAGTGATCCATATGAGATCGTGTTTTCTAACCAATGGGAATCGGGGAGGTGGTCTCCTCCAAAGCTGTGTAGAGTGCATGTGGGCTTTGCGTTTTTACCGTATAGCATACATGAAAAATATGACAGGCTGAAAGGCACACCAGAGCAAAGAAAATAGTCAAAGAGGGGAAAGAGACAAGGAATTCAAGCAAGTTCTGTGTTCCTGTTGAAAATAAGAGGCTGCGTTAGGGATCAGAAGCAACAATTATTTAAGAATCAAGAGAGCGCTGTTTCACATGAGCATGCTAAGATGGAATGCGCAGCAAGTGAAAAGGAATGCCAAGAGTGTAATACCATCCTTAATACAAATCATGTACCTTTGTGTTCTTAGATATCTGCAGCACAATGGGCTTGAACTGTATAAATCAGTCTTAAAAACTGAGTATTATTTTTCCCTTGGAAAAATATATTTGCATAAAGGAGGAAGACTTTAAAACTTATTGGGCCCTTATGAGGGGAGTTGAAGTGCTGATCTAATTAGGTCCAAAGTGCAGATCCCATTTTTCAGTCTCTGAAATAAGATTACGCAGATTTGCAGCTTTGTTTGTTCAGAACCCTGAATAAGCGTGATACGCATCTATAAAACACAATAGTATTTTCTATTTAAGGATAAAAATTTTATGGACGTTGTCTGCACACTGAAATATGAAGCAGTTGCTATGTCGAGGTACTTCAAGGGCCTTCATAAATAAATCTGAAGGCATTGGTATTGTTCACAACCAGAACAGTGTAATTTTGCAAGAAACTTTACTGATGCTTTAAAGTAGCTTTTAAACTGAAAAATAGCATTCATTATTGCTTAGAAAACCACTTACGAATGAAATCCGCATTTTCTTTTTGAAAGGAATTAAAATGACACCTTATTCTTCATGCAGTTAAACCTCAGGCACTTTCGACGAGGAAGGAGGAGGTCAGGTGCAGTTTTAGCACATACTGGATACGCTCCACATCAGCAAGATCCGCATGAAGTTCACAGGAGCGTTCCTCCTCATGCAAATGCCCTTTGTCACTTCCATATTGCTGCCAGTATCAATCCAGCCACAGGTAAGCAATGTGGTAAATCCTTGCTACAAAGCGAACTAGGATTTCTGTTACATATATGTTCTCTATGGAAGCTTAACAGATGTATTTGTTCGTGCAAAATTCCTAGTATGTTGGTTTCATTTATGTGTGAAAGAACCTTCTGCAGTAATGAAATTACTTGAATGAATTTCCTTCTCAGTATTCCTGTCTTTTCATTTTGCTTATCTTTTAACTGAGATTCATAGTGGTCTAAGATGGAGAAAGCTAAGTATTTGTAACTGGTGTTAAAATTTATTGTGAATTGTGTATGATACTGGGAACAGACTGATAAAATATTTGAAGAATAATTGTGATAAATATAATATCTTACTGTTATCCATTATTGAAACTAGTTCTCTTACAGCAACAAAATCCTTGAGACTTTCTATACTCGAGTGTTTCTTCAGGTGATATTCACCGTGGATGGAGTTCAGTGAAAGGAATAAATAGTGATTAGTAGGACAAAATTCTCTAGGCAGATTCAGAAAAAGTGATTGATTCCTAAGACCTTAGCAGGTTTCTGGAATGAGTGATTTGTGATTGATGAAGTAAATAGAGAGAGATTCACTGAGGATAATACGCAGAGCTGAGTATCCTTTAGAAGCAGATAGTTTTGAGGTAGAATAATGGGGGAAAAAAACGGAGTTCTTTAGTGATTTTTGATAATTACTCAAAGTACATAGATTTATAATCTAATCTGACAACTCATCTTCCTAGTACACCTTAGTCATGTTTACTGTAGCTTTGTCTTCTGAAGAGGAATCAACAGAATTCTTCCTTCCAAGTTCTGTTCCTTGCTATATGTATTACAGTATTTTTGAGACGGACATTGGCTGGTTTAGGAAGACAGACTTTATTTCTTAAATAATCTGTGCTCTTCTTGCCCCTTTCCCCTGGTGCATCTCCTCCCCACAACAAAATTGCTGGTCGTTCTGGTGCTTCTTTCTTTTATCTGTGTGCTCTCAGTTACAGTTTTCTTTGGCTGGACTAGAGGTTTGGCAATTCAAAGCCATCATTGACTTTGAAAACAACAGGCTTTGAGTGAAATGTATTTTGTCTTCCAGGACATGGAATTTAAATAATGCTGTGTAGATAGGGAGTGGTAGGAGATGGGAATATATATGGAGAATTGTAGGTGGGGATTATATGCAGATTGAGTTTTTAACAGCTTTTTTGCCATGCTTAATTCAGATGATGGTACTCTGCAGCAGCCTGATCCTTTCTTCTGTCACTCCCTTTGTGATTGCTGTTCTATTTTTCACAGCAACATAGTGATAGCATGGGGTAAAATGTTTTAAAATTGTGGTATTTAAAGTAGGCCTCAGTGACAAATATGAATATTATACTTAGTAGAGCGAATTGTGGTAGTTAAAGTAAGCTTTAGTAATAAAGATGAATATTACCCATCTGCATGTCTCTGCCTGATTAATAGGTGACACAGATGAATATTATACTTAATGGAGCGATGTGAACTTATACTTGTGTACCCACCTGCATGTATCTGCCTGATTAATGGATCGTTATCTGCCTGATTAATAGATCATTATGATGGGATCATGAAACTGTGCTTGGGGAGGATTGTAACAATGATCAAAGGGAACTTGAAGTTATTCCTAGGGAGGATTATAACAATAATCAAAAGAACCTCAGACCCATGCTTGGGTGAAATTAATAACATATGATTAAGTGAAGAAAAGAGTATAAAGATGTATCCATCTCAGATCCACGTTGGAGTCAGATTTGGGTTTGTACCCCGACTCCCAGAGCTCTTCAATAAAAGCACCCATATAATCATTCAGTGATTATGTGTTTTCTATGCTAACAATAGGGCACAAAGTACCATCAGAGGGTGAGGTGAAATAACAACAGAACCTATCAGAATCAGAAATCATGGCTATTTGGAATGGTGTTACAGAAGGCATCATCTAGTCACTGTACTAATTTTTGCTAGTAGTGTAAGCCCGTGGTCTTTGATTGTAGTGTGTATGTACTGCAGCATTTATTGCGTAGTAAATGTTGGGAAATTATGCATAAGTTACTTGGTTTGTACTGAGCTGTGCTATCAAAGGACAAGGTCGATTCACCTGTATAGCCACTGTTACATCAAGAAGATAGAACATTGCAGGGCCATACCTGTAATCCTCATCTAAGCATACCAAAGAACTTCCCTTCGGAACATCTCTTGTGGTGGCAATCAAGCAATTTAGTGCTGAAAACAGATGATGTTGGGGAAAGGAATAGCAAGTGGCAATCTACTTAGCATATTTTTTTTCCGGCAAAAGGAATAGCATATTTTTTTCATTGCAGAGTTTTTCTAAAATTATTTTTCGACCACACTATTTAGTTTTCAAAAATGTCAACATCTTTTTCTGGTAGATATTCCTCTACTCCCTTCTATCACATCTCTGAGTCTTGGTGAAAATGAAGAAAAAAGTGGACCTTTTGTTGTGCACTGGCTAAACAATAAAGAACTTCATTTTACCTTATCTATGGAAGTGTTTTTGCAACAACTTAAAAGGAGTTTTGAACATCATTCTCTGGAGACTAACAGTGAGGAATCTAATCAATTGGATGGCAGATCAGAAGAAGGTAAAAGTCATATAGACATATGTCATATAGACAAATGGCTTCCATTTTATAAAGTAATTTGTAATCGTCCTTCAGGTGAAGTAAAAAGTGGGCAGCTTGACATGTAAGGATAAAAGCAGATTACAGTAGCATTTCTATGCATTTACTTCCCTTACACTGAAATTACCTAAGTGCCTTTAAAAAAACTGTATCTAGACATTCTGACTTTATGATTGTTCCAGACATTGAGTTGTATATGCAAAACACTGTATTATTTACTTAGGCTTACCTGGAGGGCTTTGCATAAAAGTGTATATTAAGGAAGCAAGTGCAACCTTAGAATTAACTTTCTTCTGTAAATTATTATTATACACCTAATTTAAATACTTTTGTTCTATAACATAATGCAGTTAATTAATTTAAATATATACAGTTTGGATATTATTGCTTTTGTTCTGCCTATGCATGAAAAAATTTGTATAAAATGGGGTAAAGTATTTCATATTAAGGTGCAAGATAAGCTATTTTGTTTTGTTAGGCACTGAAGTCCACCAGAGGATTTCTGGTTGTAAGTTTCAGTGTTTTAAATTAGTTCTCATATGAATGACATATAAAAGGCCTGAAGGGTGCTCCAATGCCTGAATAACACTGCTTGTTATACTTCTGATTTTGAATGTTGTATGTGTCTATATATATATATATACACACACATATGTATATCTGTGTTCTAGAAGTTGATGAAAAAGAAGATGAACAAAAACGAAACCAAGAAAAGGAACTGGGTGATGAGAAAGCTACTCCAAATTCAAGCCTTGTTCCTTTATCTTCTGCTATTATTGATCATGAAATTGAAGTTCTGCTTTCTGAATGGAGTAAAAATGCTGACATGCTATTCAGTATACATCCTATGGATGGTTCACTGCTAGTGTGGCACGTGGACTGGCTAGACGAATACCAGCCTGGCATGTTTCGCCAGGTGCAGGTACTTTATTTCTTCTGTATTCTGCATTGTTATTCAGTGAGAAGTATGATGAGAAAATAACTTTATTCTTCCTTTCTAAAAATTCCAGGTGTCATTTGTCTCAAGAATTCCTGTTGCATTTCCAACAGGTGATGCAAACTCTCTTTGCAGAAGTATAGTGATGTATGCTTGTACCAAAAATGTTGACTTGGCTATTCAACAAGGCAAACAAAAACCTCCTGGCCTTACACGGTCTTCATCTATGCTTATCTCTTCTGGACACAGTAAATCAATCAACAGTTTAAAACTGAGTATCTTCACACCTAATGTTATGATGATTTCCAAGCATGCAGATGGCTCTTTGAACCAGTGGCTAGTGAGTTTTGCTGAGGAGTCTGCTTTTTCAACTGTACTCAGCATTTCACATAAATCCCGATACTGTGGTCACCGTTTTCATCTTAATGACTTGGCTTGCCACTCAGTATTACCACTGCTGCTTACAACTTCACATCACAATGCTCTGATTTCACCAGATGTTGAGAATGCATTACAGACAAATGATTCTTTAAAATCTCAGGAGTCACCACTAAGACTTCAGAGTAGAGGCAATGCAAACGTGACATCCCAGGATCCCAACGCAGTTTACAGTGAACTTATTCTTTGGAGAGTAGATCCTGTTGGGCCATTGTCCTTTTCTGGTGGAGTTTCTGAACTTGCTCGGATCAATTCTCTTCACATTTCAGCTTTTTCTAATGTCGCATGGCTGCCCACCCTTATACCCAGCTATTGCCTTGGTGAGTTTCATTTCCTGACTTGTGATGTGTTCTAGATTGAAGGTAATAAAACCTAATAATGCTCTTATTATTATACTTGAATGTGTTGGAAAAAGTGTTAAGCATGGGTCCTCTGTCACAAATTTTCAAGCTGCTTGGAAATCCATTATTCCTGTGTGATGAGTTGCTGTGTTCTTCTGACTTCTTTGATGTATTTGATATTCTAGGAGCTTATGCAGCAAAGTTCTTATGTACTAGGGCATACTTCAGAGCATGTTGAAGACTTAAAAGCTGAGGTGATTTAGCACTATTTTGCAAATGAGATTCTAATTTCCTTTCATGTACTTGATTTGGTTGCTGAGTGCAGCGTTAAATAAACTTTGTGGTTCTTGCTTGTCAACAGCAGTTAACAAGGTATTTTTTATGCTAAATTGTTTTCTATCATAACTTCAAAATTGCTTCTTGTCAAAAAGAAAAAGGAAGCAAGTCAGTGTTTGAATATTTGAGTGCTTTTTGCATTTTTGCTTTTCAGGTGCATACTGTAATTCTCCAAGTGCCTGCTTTGTAGCTAGTGATGGACAGCATTTGAGATTATATCAAGCTGTAATAGATGCTAAGAAACTTCTGTGTGAACTCTCCAATCCAGAAATTTCTGTAAGTGAGAAGCCATCTCAAGTTTTTGCATGTTGTAATTTCAGTCAATCTCACTAGGCTCAGACTGTTTGGTATAACTGACTGAGCTGGTTTCTGAGGATTTCACAGATGATTCTCCTTGTAATAACAGATAGGGTAAAGCTTTTTTTAACCATACTGTATTTCATTTAGTCTCAAACTCTGCATGTTGAGGCAGGCCAATGTTTGATTGGGACATACCTCTGAAAACTTGCACTACAAGGAATAATAACTGTGTGTGTGCATTGCCATCCTAAGAAGTTGAGATGACAGTGCAGCTTGGAGAAAGGACAATAAATTGCTGAATGTGGGGCTTTCAGGGTGTTCTTGTCACCTTTCATCCATCAGAACCAAATGTATTCTTGATAAAACTTGTGAATGTTTCCTGTGTTCCTGGTGAATCACAACCAGTGTGTATTTCATTTAATGCTTTAGTTAATGTTTGTGTAGTGATGTTGCACATACCGAGCAGGCTGTGCCACAGGAATCCACAAAACTGTGTTAACCAGACCACCCCCTGATTCTTTTTGAACAGAAATATGTTGGTGAAGTTTTTAACATCATAAGTCAGCAGTCTACGGCTCGCCCGGGATGTATCATTGAACTGGACGCTATCACAGAGCTTGTAAGATCTTTTTCTGTACCTGTTTGTTGCCATAATTAGCTTTTAAAAAAGTGTTAATGATGAAGGCAATACCTGTAGCTCTCTGTCAGGTAATGATGAAGTACTTAGAGACTGTTGTGACACATACTTGTTCTTGTTTGCAGTAGTACCGGTAAATTGAAAGAATATGAGTAAGGAAGGCACATTTTCATAAGAAATCTTTCATTGATATGTACAACTTAGCAAGCCAAAAGCTACCATGTTAGAGGGCAATCCTTAACAGTACACTCTTGTGTGTGTTCTCTTCTTGTGTGTTTTTACTTTCTTAGCATGGCCGGAAAACACAGTTACTCCATGTTTTTCAAGAAGACTTCATTTTAAATAACCAGGAGAAGGAAGTAACTCCAAAGAAGAACAATTTATCAGACTCTGGTAAAGAATTCTGTTTCATAGAACATTGAAGACAGTGTTATATTTTTCATTTCACAGAAGAAAAGGAACTTGTTACGTAGCTTTTAGCATTTTAAGGTCAAATACTTTACTTTGAAATCTTCAGAAGAAAATCTGATTTAATGAAACTCATGGGTGTTTTGCTACCTGTGCGCTGTGTGCAACAAAATTTTAGATGAAGTGGTTTAAATCATGAGGTACCTATGATGTACTGAATTAAGCAGACCCTTGCTGATGCCTGTCTTGCATGAAGGGGGAAAGGTTTAAATGTAGAGCCTGTAGTTGTGGGGTTTGACAGACAAATCTTACTGTATCCTTTCATGGTGGATGTTCATCTTTTACATCAACTAAGTAATGTTCTTCAAGACTTATGTGGTATAATAAATGGCAGAGCAAACAATTCCCCCTTACTGCAATACTAGAAGTAGTATGTGTATTTATGGGTCTTTTGGCAGATCTGAATTGCCCTGGAATAAATGATAAGTTTTCCTTGTTGGAGTGGATCAGTGATTCTGTTATATATGCTTCACAATTTGGTTTTGTTCTGTTCCAGTAAAATAGTGTGGGGGAAAAAAAGGGTCAGATTAAAGTTTGTGATACCAGGTCAACTGCAGTAGTAATGGGAATCCTGAATGAAAGGAAGCAAAGCTGTGGAAAAGTGTCAGAGGGACCTAGGGGCATACCAACTGAACTGTATAAACATAGTAATCAGCTGTGACTTGTCTGTTTCTACCTGACAGAGAATTGGAGTAGTGGAAGATAATCTATGAAACATCTACCCAACCCTTGGTAGGGTTAAAAAATGCAAATGAGGTGTTGAAAATTAGGAACAAAGTAGTGAGCAAAAAACTGTTTGCTCTACAGTGTAATTGTATGTTTGCATCTTGAGTATGGTCTATAGAAAGGACTTGAAAAGTATGGGAGGTATTTGATCTATTTGTATCTCTTGTGCGTTCCATACGGTTAGTAGGTCCAGACTATGTAGCTGGCCTGGCTGGGTTGTGATCGGTGAGCCTAGTCATTAAACCAAGCTGTGACTTTCACCAATGTGGAGTGGCATTTCTTCTCTAGATATAACTTGTATACTTTTTGTACATGAAGGCTAAACTTCTGTCTAGCTCACTGCCTTAATTGTTACAGTTGCCACTAACAGATATTGAAGAAACTGTAAGAGACAAATATGTAAAAAGGCAAAGGTGTAGACCTGAGAGTACATTCTGGGATTTAACTTTCAACAGAGAAAATTCAGGCAAATATGTTATAATCTCTAAAAGAAAACACTGACAATTTTACATGAGTGTGCATGTAATTGTAGTAGCTGTTGGTTGTGATACGATACTGAGAAAACTAATGTAAGAGTTGGATATAGTGAGACCACTGCATTTCAGTATTAGTTCAGGTAGCTTAATATGATTGTTTGCTGGCCAGCAAAATTTAGTTCTGCTTTCAGGTGTATAACCCCTAAGATCTTCCTCTTCTCAATTTCATCAGGAAACCAGCAGAATGGATTCTCTGAAAAATTCTACTTGATAGTAATAGAGTATACTCAAAGCCATTCATTACTACATATGTGGCATTTGCATTTGAAGTCAATTCCTGTCTCAATAGGTAAGCCCTCTTTCTTGTAGTTTTCTTTAAAACAAAAAAGTCACTGTCTAGTGGATATATCTGCTGTATTCTAAATTGTTTCATACTTTTGAAAAGAATTTGCAGTTGATTAGAAGCTTTTATCACAACCGTTTCTTTCTTGGTTTCTTAATCTTAAGATTGCTGAAGCTTTTGAGTTCAGCCTGAGCCCAGAGTTAGGTAATTTTTGCACGCTCTAAGGACAACTGGTTTTAATACAGTCTAATAGTTAAGATGTTTTGCTTCTCAGAAGTTTTTGTTCTGCAATTTTTGAGTTTACACAAGTTTTGAATTGGACTGCAGTCTAAAGCCCCTAAGCATCAGTGATACAATTGCAATTATAAACAATTTTGACATTCTGAAATTTGCTGCTTCTTTCAAACTACCTCTAAAACTATGAAATTTTAAAGTAATCTAAGATACACTTGAGTAGTTTATTGTTAACAAAATTTTTCAAGAAAGCCTAAATCTGATATTTGCCATTTACCAGAAAAATTTGTAATAATGTATGTTTCTGGTATTGAAACCAAATTAGTATTTCTTACTGTTGCTTTCAAAGGCAGAAATAAGTATTACTGCAGTTAGTTTATAAGTTGGTGAGAATCATAAAGATTCAGGTTTTATGATCTACTTATGTCATGATGACATTCCTGATAAGGCTTTTCAGCTAATCAAATCAAATGCCTACTTCAACTACTCAGTTTTCTTGAAAAAGCGTTCTGAGAGCCCTTCTTTTTTAATAAAACTTTTCTTAGAAGTTCCTTTCCCCAATTTGTGAGCTAAGACATTGATGCCTTCCTTTACTTTTCTCTAGCTGAAGGTTTTGTGTGCTTATTGAAACCTTAGTTTCGGTGGATTGCCACTTACGTACCTGTGTCTGCACTTTTGGTCTTTCTGATTATAGTTTGACTGTTTTATAACTTCTCAGCAGTTCTAGAATCTGGATGTGCTTGCATTTCTCTTTAAATATGAATATGAAAATGAAAATATTTGAAACAAAATTTTTAGGGCATGTTTTGTCTGTATCTTTTGGAACTATTAAGATGAGTAAACTTGCTTAATTGACTTTTAAAAATTTGACAATGCAAACCTTTTTTAGATGAAAAGATAAGTACCAATCCACCTGAAGAAGCAACACAAACAGAAGAATTGTATTCTTCACCAGATCCAGAGAAGATCCAATCACCTTTCACTCAAAAGTATCAGGCCTGTAGAGCAAACCTTCAGAGCACCAGCTGGCTTACTCTGTCTTCTAAAATGGTGTATAGTCAAGCATTGAATATGCCAGAAGGAGTAGAGATAATAAGTGTAAAGCCATCAGCAGGTTTGTAATATTTTTAAAAAAAGACTAAAATAAGGAATTCTTGTCTTTCTGTGGTAGGACAAGTAGTGATAGGCCCAAATTGAAAGAAGGGAGGTTTAGGTTAGATGTGGGGACAGGATTTTTTCCTGTGAGGGTGGTGAGACACTGGAACAGGTTGCCGAGGGAGATTGTGGATGTCCCAACCCTGGTGATGTTCAAGGCTGAGTTGGATAAGACCTTAGGTCTAATGGGAGTTGTCCCTGCCCCTGGCGGGGGGGGTTGGGACTAGATCATCTTTAAGGTCCATTCCAACCCTTAGGATTCTGTGATTCTGTGATTCTCACTTTGGTCTTGAAATAGAAATTAAGCAAGTTTTGTATCTGTTGTTAAAGTGCCTGTTAGGTAGATCCAAGAGATCTGCTAAAATTTGCTTCCCTGACTTTATATCTTCATCCTGGAACTGATACTAAAATAAATTTCTTATTTAAGGTATAATATTTACTGAATTCTGCATTCTTGCAATAAGAGGAATTACAGAAACACAAATTTTGTTTTGCAGTCATTCATGACATTTTTTGTAGAACCTCTGCTTAGATTTTAAGGTTTTCATTAGAAGTCATTCAAAAATACAAAGATTTTTAGATTTCTGCATATTCTGGAAAATTGTTGATTTGATGGAGGTTATATATACTGGTATTAATGTTTAAATAATATAATTTTACTCCCCTCTAGAGCATGAAATGGAATCAAGGGGTAAAAGAGTTTTGTGTGTTTTTGTCACATTGTCTCCTTTGTGAGGCTCTATAAAAAACCTCTTTGTGAGGAAGTAGTAATTTTTCTTTTTAAATTTCGGAATAATAAAATGCTAGCTGAATAAAAATGTGTCGTTTTGTGCTTGCTTGTTAGTATTTCCCCCAGTAAAAGTGTATTTTATTTAATTTTAGGACATCTCAGTTCTTCTTCCATATATCCTGTTTGTCGTGCACCTTATCTGCTGGCTACTTCATGCTCTGATGGAAAAGTTCGATTCTGGAGATGCAGAGTTGTCACTGAATCATCAGCTTCTTCCATGCCAGAACACAGCACACATAGTGATGTTAAATACCTATGGGAAGAATGGCCATTACTGATTGAAGATGGACTTCCTAGTAGTAGTGCTATTAATGTTCCCGGAAGGCCAACTGAAGTCAGCTGTGCACACACGAACAGATTAGCAGTAGCATACAAGCAAGTAGCATCTAAAAATGGTGATCTTTCTCAGGATTTTGTAATGCATGTTAGTATTTTTGAATGTGAGTCTTCAGGGGGCGGTTCTTGGATTTTAGAACAGACTCTTAATTTAGATGAGATAGGCACCATGTTAGACTCTGGTGTTAGTACTGATAGCAATTTAGTGGCATATAACCAACAAGATGTTTCTCTGTCTCATGGTGGGAATATAATGCCCAGTACGGTGCACTTAGATTGGATGTCTAGGGAAGATGGTTCGCATATTCTGACAGTGGGAATTGGATCAAAACTTTATATGTTTGGTCAGCTGTCTGGGAAGAGGCAAGAGCAAAATAGTAATGAGATTGTAGCAATCTGCCCCAGTGGCAGTATTAAGACTGCAAACCTTTCTGGGTTCGTTTTGCTGCGTTGTGTTGACTTAGTGTCTTCTGTAGAGGGGTCATCTCCTTTTCCTGTCTCCTTGTCTTGGGTGCGTGATGGCATTCTTGTAGTTGGAATGGATTGTGAAATGCATGTTTACTCCCAGTGGCAGTCTCCTTCTAAGCAGGAACTTGTCAGCACAGATTCCTACAGTGGAAGTATGCCATGTATAACTAGCTTAATGAAACAAAGCCAGTCAGTCCCCTCAGGTCTGCATCCACCAAAGAGAACCTTGACCAGATCTTTGACCAACCTTGCACAGAAACTTAGTGGGAAGAGATCTACATCTGATCTATCTATGGAAGTAGAAGATTCTGGTCTTTTCGAAGCAGCTCATACATTATCTCCAACTTTACCTCAGTACCATCCATATCAGCTGTTGGAACTGATGGATCTTGGTAAAGTACGTAGAGCAAAAGCCATTCTGTCCCATTTGGTGAAGTGTATTGCTGGAGAAGTTGTTGCTATAAAAGAATCTGAGCCTAATCATGATAAGAGGCTCAGATCTCTCACCATCAGTGCTAGTGGAAGTACTGCAAGAGATCCCATAACATTTAGCAAAACTGAGACTACAGACTACATGGAAATAGACTCTGTTCCACCATTGCCTTTGTATGCTCTGCTTGCTGCGGATGATGATTCATCTTACTCCTGTTCAGAGAAGTCCAATAATCAAAATAGCCAAAACAAAAAAGACACACCCAACGAGAACTATGAAAATCTCTTTCAAAATACTGTTATAAGTACAGATGAACTTGTTACATTTGACGCAGATGAAGACAGTTCGAAACCAAAAGTCATAGATCTTTCTCAATATAGCCCGACTTACTTTGGACCAGAACATGCTCAAGTTCTTTCTCGTCACTTGCTTAATTCAAGCCTGCCAGGTCTGACTAGGATGGAGCAAATGTCATTGATGGCCCTGGCAGATACAATTGCTACTACCAGTACTGACATTGGAGAAAGCAGAGACAGAAGTCAGGGTAAGCTGTTTGTTTCAAGTTAATGTACTACTGTGCTTCACAACCTTTTTTGGGGAGTTTTTCCTGTTTTGAATGTTTTTGTGGCTTATGGAGGTGCATCATAGTTTTGTTTTATATTACAGCCTGTGTTGTTTACTGTGCCATCACATTGTTTACTACTGTTTAACTAGAGTTTCAAGACTTTGTATTTTGACAAAACCCACTTTTTCTTTTGCTATCTGTTATGCCACTGTTAGTCTGTCAGTCCACATGCCACAATTATTTTTTGCTCTCTTTTGAAGTGACAGCTTTCTTAGTGACAAATATTTGTTGTACTGTGTAGAGAAGCTGAGAAATAAGTTTATCTTTTTTTAATATGATAACGCATTTTCTGTTTCTTGCAGAAAAAACTTCTTTATATTCTTTGTTTTATAAACTTTTTATGTTTTAAATTTTCTTTTCCCTTTCCTTGAATGGAAGAACTATGAAATAAGGTATTATATTTATAAACTCTTAGTAGTCACAAAATTGTATTTCTTCTATTAAGACACACAGTATCTACTTTGAGTAGTTTCTCTAAAGTGTGCCTAAAAATATGTATTTCCAGGTGGAGAAACTCTTGATGAGTGTGGTTTAAAATTTTTGTTGGCTGTTCGGCTTCACACATTTCTGACAACTACGCTTCCTCCTGTACATCGAGCTCAGCTGCTTCACCAAGGTAACTGATGTGCTTTCTTAGATGAGCTGAACTTTTGTGATGTACTTACATAATGAGTTTGTTTCTTTAATATTTGATATGCAGTGCTGACAAGTACTCTTAAATTTCTCTTGCATCAGCAGCAGTGCACTTAAAAAACCTAAATAAACAGTGTAAACTTTTTAATTTTTCCTTCTCCCTTTCCTGTCCCCATGACTTCAGATTCTGGATATTTTACTAATGAATGTCTTTTTCTGGGGTTTTTTTTTGTTGGTTTTTTTTTTTCTTTTTCCGATGGATTGTTATGTAGGCTTATCTACTAGTCATTTTGCCTGGGCATTTCATTCAGTAGCGGAAGAGGAACTGCTGAGCATGCTCCCTGCAGTGCAGAAGGGAGATCCAACATGGTCAGAGCTGAGAGCTATGGGTATAGGATGGTGGGTTCGAAATATCCAGAGCCTACGGAAATGCATAGAAAAGGTAAACATAGCATTCTGTAACAAAATTGCCAAACTCTTTTCAGACATCTGTCCTCTGGTGTTTGCCTTCTATTTATGTGGTTTTAAATTTTTTAGATACATTGTTTCTGAATGTTGCATGCTGTATGTTTTTGTACATATGGTTTATTGCATGAATATGAACTTGATTTAACTTTTTTTTAGTGCTTTACATTTCAAATTCCAGTGCCAAGTGCATATTTTGCTTTTAGTTATTCTATTTTGGAGATGGTAGTGTGCAGTGCTTATTGTGGATCCTCAAGATACAGATGGAGTGTGTACTTTTTTCTCAATTTTTGTACAAAAAATAAGTTATGGAAAAAGATTCTCCTTAGAAATCTATCAAAACAGGGAACAACTGAGGTATTGTACATTTGTCTTGCAAATGTACAATATCCATGATAAACAAACCTATTTTTTTGTTTAAGCTTGGTGGGAGTTTTTCATTTGTTTGAGGGTTTTGTTTTGTTTTTTTAAATTATATATTTTCATCGTCACAGATGAGTCAATAAGCCTGATGTCATTATCTCTGTTTTAAACTCTTGGAAAAGCCAGGAGCTAGAAAATTACATGCACAAGATACTTTGACTGCAGCACACAAAGTGATAAAATGCATGTCTCTACTTTTACCTTTCAATCTTCAGTAATTTATCATCACTTACGAAACTTACCTCCCTTGCATTAAAAATTTCCAGGTATTCTGGGCCCAATTTTAAGGTTATGTTACTTGGGTCTTGGACTACTCTTGCTGCCATTTAACCCTTATTTTTCCTTCCAACCTCCAAAAGTAATCTCCTGTAAACACCTTTGCTTGTGATTGGTCCCAGCCTGTTTTTCAAGACTCCAGCTGTCCCTTGATTACCAGAGCAACTAATAAATCAATTTTGTTATTATTTCAGGAACTGATTTCAGATAGAGGGATTCCCATCTGATCTGCCAAAAAGTTTCTAGAACTGTAAGAGCATTAGCTAAATGCTATCCAAGGGCCTGTTGTATCTTCATGTGCTCTTATGTCAGACTCACAATGAGAGGAGGGATCCTATATTAAAGAGAACTTCCAAGTACTGTGGTGTATCGGATACCAGAAGCAACAGGAATCTCATTTAAGAGTCATTTAATGTTAATTATTTTTTTTGCTGTTGAATGGTCTTCACAGGTGGCTAAAGCAGCCTTTCAGCGAAACAATGACCCACTTGATGCGGCCATTTTCTACCTCGCGATGAAAAAGAAGGCAGTGATCTGGGGATTATATAGGTAGGAGACATTCAAGCTCGTACAAGGAGTTTCTTACTGTCTGTTAGAATTTTGGGAAAAAAGTTGAATGTGATGCATAATCCAAAAGAAGTACAGATACTACCATTGAAAGCAAAAAAAAATAAATTAGTCATTAAATTGAATGTTAAGCTCCTTGTATTTACTGAGGTAATTTAGTTGCTGTTTCTGAAGGTAGATGCTTCAGGTTTTAGTCTCATATCTACTGTAAGTTCAGTCACTGCTTAATTCTGATTTACTTTTGAGAATTAGCAGTGCAGTGTGTGGAAAGACACGTCTTATCTTTTAGAAAAGTGTTTTTATAAATTTTACCCGAAGTTCAGAGGGCTGAATTATGTCTGTCTTTCAAACTGAAGTTTCATAATACACTGTTCAATATGGCAAACTTTTTGAACAGTAATTTGCATTGTCACTTACTCTTGAAGAGCTCACCTGGGAAAACTGAGATTTGTATCGGGTTAACTGAAAATGCCTTTAAGTCTTGTATTTACGGAAGTTTCTGTTAATTCCAAATACAAAGCTTTCTCTACTCCCAGTGTGGTGAGAGTCTTTGCATTTCCTGGTGTAAAGATTTGTGTAAAATTATGCTGGTAGCTGAGAAATGCAGAACCATAAGGCATATAGTAAATTATGTAATATTTTTATCAATTGTGTTCAATGTGCAGGTCCCAAAAAGATACTAAAATGACAAAGTTTTTCGGAAACAACTTTACTGAGGACAGATGGCGTAAAGCAGCATTAAAGAATGCTTTTTCTCTGCTTGGTAAACAGCGTTTTGAACATTCTGCAGCATTTTTCTTGTTGGCAGGACACTTAAAAGATGCTGTGGAGGTAATAAAAGGGACCTTGTTTTTGTGTGTGTTTAAGACTGTTATAGTGTTCTAAATGTACGAATATATTGAATGTGACTTGAATTTTGCATCAGTATGACCCCTGACATATCTGGTTTGTTTCCTCCACCCCCAAATTAATGACAAAAACAAGGCCTTGTTCTTTACATTTTGATTCTTTTGTCTTTAGCTGTTAGTGATACTAAAAAGTCACAGGGTTAATTTCTCTGTAAGAACATTATGGGACCATTTTCAGATTGTTTACCTAGTGCTGTATGAAGACAGCATAGTTTTTCATTAGGAAGTTCCAGACCTGAAAATAAAGGGGTTTTAGCAGTGATGTGGATTAGTTGCTGGAATCCCTTCACACACAAAAAAAACATGTTTCCTGAATGTGTTTAAATTGAAACATTGGGAAGAAATTAATCTCTTTGAAAATGAAGGATTTGTTCTGTAAAGCTTAGAAGCCAAAAGAAACAGCTTCAAGAGGTGGCATGACAATGATCTGTTGAAGCCAATCGATTTCAAAGATGTATTGTCATGTCATACTTAAACTGAAGGAATGTGAATCTGATTTTGCATATAATACTTGGCTACACCTATTCTTATTCTGTATGGTTTCTGCTCATGTTTTATGGATGTGGTAGACCTACTTATATTTTAATCTGTGCAGATTAATCTCACTTCCTGCCTTGTCATCATTTTAAACAAGAGAAATTATCAAGTTCAGTCTTTTGAATATATTTATTTCCCATTAGGTCTGCCTCGAAAAACTAAATGACATTCAATTGGCTCTTGTAATATCAAGACTTTATGAGTCAGAGTTTGAAGTATCTAGTACTTATAAATCTGTACTACAGAAGAGAGTTTTGGGAAGTGTGTTTGCTGGAAAAGAGAGCTCAGGAAACATACACTGTGACCCTTTTCTGCGAAGTATGGCTTACTGGATTTTGGAAGACTATAGCAAGGCTCTTGACACTTTGATTAAACATTCTGTTGCAGATGAAGGAGGTAAGAATACAAGTATTTTGCCTGTTAGGTTGGTTTAAACCATTTGTTCTTTTAAGCTGCAGTTTCTTAAAGTGTGGTCTGAACAATACCAGGTACCACACAGTTCATCACCATTGGTAGTTAAATAGCTTCCTCTAGCCATGTATGTGTATTTTAGTATCAAATGTGGTGACTGTGTTATTGTTATCCTGTATCCCATGAATGCTTACTTTGCCCTTTAAGCATGTGAATATCAGGATAATGGAATGGCCCTGCAGTGATACAGCTGCTTGTCCAGCAGCAGCTGAAAGATGAGAGACAAATTAACACTATTGGTTAATTTGACTCCATCACAACCTAAGAAGAAATTTCTGATTGCACAGTTGCATGGGAGAGTCTGGAAGACATGGTGTTTTTTAGCTTTTAGTCCTTGGGAAGCATTGTTTACCACCATGATAAACTGCTAAAGAAAAGATCTTGATATTTACAATGGTACAAGGAGGCCCACATGGTGCCTGAAATGGCATAGTAGTCTCCTAGAACACTTTGTTTCAGTGTTCACTTGCCAGCTTTATAGGCCTTCAAAGAATCAATCATACTGTTTCCTAAAGTTAGTGGTCTCAAGCAAGTTAAATGTTTCAGGTCCCTAGTAGTTAGCATGTTTCAGTCCTGGCCACTGAGAGAAATTTGAGGGGGACAAATGAAAACTCAGGACCTTATAGTTGTGTAATTAGTTTCAAAAACTGAATTCAGTAGAAGATAAATGCCTCGGGATAATTCTGAGCAATTGAGTAGTATAGTGTTTGGTTGTTTCTGTCTCAGTTTCATCTTTTTATGTAAAATAATTTTAAATATTACTAATTATTCTGCAATCAGTAGTTTGCGGTGTCTTGCCTTATTTTCTTACTTAAAAGGTGCTCTTTCATGTACCTTTTTTTTATCTGTTGTCAGTTGTGCCATAACTCCTGGTAGAGGAGAGAGTAAGTGTCTGTGTCAGGTAACCTGGATTATTTGAAGGCTCTGTGGATTATCCTGTGCTGATGGTTGTACCTCTTCAGGGTTTTTCTGCTTGTGGACGAGGAAATAAAATGTATAGGTGTTGCACTGCTGTGTAATTAATTTATTTGGATGTAATACTGCTACCATTATGTATAAATGTTACAGATCTCCTAGTTTTGTTTTAAGCTGCATTTTCCTTAATATGTAGACAAAATAATAGTAATCCAAAATTTTTAAAATAGAGTGTAGGTAAAAATCTTTAAGATGTAACATTTTATTGCCATTTAGAGATACAGACTTTAGAAATCTAAACTGAACAGAAAAGTGGTCTTGTTTGGTGCAGTAAGACTGGCCTGACTGCAGAGAAAATAAATGGCAGCTGTTTTACTTGCTGGCCCTCTCAGGCTTCTCTTTTTAGTACTGATTAGGTTTGTCAACATTCTCCCCACCAAGATACTCAAATGATAAAGGTGCAGAGGATGTTGAAAACAGGGGTGTGTTAAGTAAACAGTACAATGAATAATAAGACCCAATAGCCTTCTGATGAACTTAGGACTTTGTAGATTGATTATTTCATACAGAATGGTAGAATTTCCTCATGCTACAATATCTTTTCAGATGAAGGAGATGGCTCATCAAGTTGTAACCCCGCAGTGTTTAACTTCTATAACTACTTAAGAACACATCCTCTCCTGCTGAGACGTCATTTTGGCTCTTCTGATACATCTTCCACACACATTTGCCTAACAGTAGAAAACGGATTAGCTGACAAAATCAACCTAAGTGAAAGACAGCTGTTTTTCTCTACTGCATATGCTCATCTAAAAGCTGGTTGTCCTATGTTGGCCTTAGAAGTGTTATCAAAGATGCCCAAAGTTGTCAAGAGGTCAAAGTCATTGTGTAAATCCCCTAGTTTAATGGATACTAGTAAAGATTTCTCACCATCTTCTCCAGTTAAAGAGTTGGAAACAAAAGACCAGTCTTCCAGTGTTGACTGGTCACAGCCAGTATGGAATGGTCTAGGTTCA